TATTTGAGATCTTCTAAAAATTAAAAGTTTACCCCAAATTTTTTTATTTTTTATAAAAACACCCTCTATAATTGTTACTTGCGTTGTATTACATAATTATTTACGTTAATTCCAATGTAGTGATGATATATTCAATGAATGTGAAATGGTAATATGATTATTGATGAAAACGATGAACAATCGACTCAACATAACAAAGTCATTTGTTTTGTATACTTCACGATGTATGAAATGATGCTTGTTGCACTCACTCTAACTTACCACATTACTCTAGTGTCATGGACACTATTTGTTATTGTTGTAACAAAGATCCAATTGACTAGTAATACTAATTTATGGTTAGTTCTGATATTTTTAAAATTTGTGATATATATCATATTTTTTTCTAAAAAAGTGAAATATATTTTTCAAATATTGGCCAAACACAAGATGAAATTTCACCCAAATTTTCATCCAAAAAAGATTTGTCAAGAATATTTGAAATCTAAGGCCAAACGCTAGCTTAGGTTTATTAGTTGATTATGCCTTATCATTAAAATAGAGTTACTTTTGCCCTCATCGTCGACAAACTTAACAAATATATCCCTGATTTGAACGGAATTTGAGGTAATTTGAAATTGGCTGGATTAGATTTGAAAAAGAGGTTGATGGGTAAAATTCGAGTTAATTTTAATTAATTTTGAGATTTCCAACCTAATCAGGGGTATATCTGTTAAGTTTGTAGACAACGAGAGCAAAAATAACTCCTTTATTTTAACAATAAGGGTATACTTAACTAATAAACTAAAGTTGAAAGATATTTTTGACTCATTCCAAAAATTATATAATAATCACTTTAACATTTCTCTAATCTTATGTTCTAAATTTTAGTATAATATTTGGCCATAAATGGTACAAACAAGCCTATTTATGTTTCTGCATTTTATTTAAACAAAAGTGATCAATGAGGAGATGTGTGTTGCATTTTTATTCTTGCTTCTAATTTTATACGTCGTGTATAAATGATTATATGAGCATATTTTTATTTGTTGAATCATAAATTATATCGCTAACGAATAAAATTGAAAATAAATATCTTATACATTTGATTATCAGTTTAGCATATTCATAAATTAAAAATTAATAAATCAAATTGATGATACTTACCAATCGGTTCAGATTATGTAAAGTAGATCAATGATTATAATTTTTAACTAAAATTCTAGAATAATTTAATTGACGAGTTTTAAATAACTTTAGTACATTATTATTGGTGAATGAAATACAATCTTTTTGTAGAAACAAGCGTTGTAGCCTTTTGGTTGTGAAATTTTGAGGATAATTGTTTAGAGGATTTTTTTTTTTACGATAGATAATATTTTAAATAAAAAATTTAAAGAAATTTAAAATTTTATTAGTAGAGGTTAGATCAAAATCTACTATTTGTTAGTCATTGCAAATATTAAACAATAATATAATGTTTTATCCATACGGTTGACGCAATATACATCAAATATAATTCTTCATAACTTCATAAAGTAGTGGGTAAATTTTAAAAGATTTAAATGGTGGTGTATATTAGGCTATTTATGTAAATAAGCACTTCTGGTTGAGAAGGTCCATTTTATCAAAGCCCAATCCAATAATAACAAATTATGGGCCTAAGCCCATTCAGAATTAGGGCTTTGATTTACATTCTAACCCGTTGAGAATTAGGGCTTTATAAAGCCGAAACGTTAGGGTTTTATACTCCATTTCATCCAGCCGAGAGAGATAGTGTGTGTGTGTGAGAGAGATTCAGAGGCGGCGAGGATGGTGAAGTTTTTGAAGCCAAACAAAGCTGTTATCCTTCTTCAAGGCAAGTATGCCGGCCGGAAAGCTGTGATCGTAAGGGCATTTGATGAAGGAACAAGGGACAGGCCATATGGCCATTGTTTGGTCGCAGGTATCTCCAAGTACCCGAAGAAGGTGATCCGCAAGGATTCAGCAAAGAAGCAGGCGAAGAAATCTCGTGTTAAGGCTTTCATCAAGCTCGTGAACTACAACCACATCATGCCTACTCGTTACACACTCGATGTGGATCTGAAGGATGTTGTCAATGCTGATGTTCTTCAGGCACGTGACAAGAAGGTGACCGCTGCAAAGGAGACCAAGGCTAGGCTTGAGGAGAGGTTCAAGACCGGGAAAAATCGCTGGTTCTTTACCAAGCTTAGGTTCTGAGCGAAGATTGAATCCGATTTTGATGAAATGGTAATTTTTTTTAGTATTAAAGAGTTTTGAGGAATGTGTTTGTTATCAAAGATACTATTAGGCTGTTTTTGTGTTTGCACTATTTTATTGATGGATAATTCCTGGCTCTTGTTTCAGTTACCTACAGTTTTATAATGGCTTGTTTCTAATGTTTGAGTAGCTTGATATTTCTATATTCCTGAGTCTATGTTTTGCTATTGTTAATTAGACGCTGCAGTAGCCAATTTACTGCTCTCATGTCTATGTTCTGTGTTGCCTTCTTCGGTGTGTGCACCAGAGGTTCTATATTAACATACTAAGTGCACAGATGCCTGTGTTCTAAGAGCTCTCTTATTATAATGTATGTTTTTTTTGCGAGAATAGATATGAGACTCATAATTCCAAAGAAAGTCGGCATAATTGTTCAAAGAATTAGCAATTTGTAGTTTGCTTTGTTTACTCACTTAGGAAACCCCCACAACAACATCAATAATAACATAGCTAGTGTGATTGCCATGAGGAATTGCCACCGGTGTAGTGCAATAGACTCTGGTAGTAATTATTCCGGACCAATTCAGCATAATGCTTCCTTATGGGATGGAATTTGAAGACTACCTTACCTTTTGTTGTCTTCTTTGCTTATCTTCTTCCTTGGGACATCCCATCACTATCGAATGTAGCTTAATGATTTATTGTCTACCAATCATTACATCATGGCTCGACTATCGATTGCTTTATTATCTGTGTCTGGCTATGTGAATCCTTAATAGTTCCTCCTACAAGTCCATTTCCTTCAAGCACGAAATGATTTGTCTTTTCAAGGTCAATTAGGATTGTTCAATCACTAGTATCTGTAGGTGTTGATAAAGTATATCGACCTTGCCTATGTATTAGAAGGGGAGTCCATGTTGGCTATAAGCAAGGCCAATATAGAGAACCTTACTCTCATTCAAGCCTTTTCATCTATAGAAGTTCATCAGGTTGTTCTTCGGCACATTCATCCATTCCACACTTCTTAATTCCCTTTGATGCAGTGCACCCTGATATCAGCCCCTTTTAACGCTTGCAATTCAATCTGTGTTAGATGTGTTGTATGACTAATTAGTTTTTCTAGATCAGTATGTCTTACAAGATCTTGCTACGTACTGAAATTGCACATAACACCTAGACTGTAGTCAGGAAAAGCTTTCCTATCTACCAATGTCATGTGATATCTGCTTACGGAATCGATGATGGCCAATATGAGATGTGAATTGTGTGAGTCTAGTTGTAAGGAGAAGTTGGTTTGTAAAGTGTTTGTAAGGTTCAAAAAGTGGCTGAAACCTCCATGAGTAATGGTTTGTAAAGTGTTTGTAAGGTTCAAAAAGTGGCTAAAACCTCCATTCGAGTACTGCTCCACCTTCCATATGCACGACTCTTTAAACAAAAATGATTTTAAACGTCTTCTTTCTCATGGATGTAGCTTCGAGGTTCATAATTTTGAACTCAGATTCAAGTTGTCTCCACTGATTTATTTATTAATAGAAAGCATTTTTGAGCCCTCAGACTTTTAGTTCGAGTGGTTATTGGATCTTGTTGCTAAGCTATAAGCTTGATATTTAAGTGGAGACGGAGAGAGGCGAAAATTTTCGAATTCAATAGGGGCTGTGCTCGTTTCCACAAGAAATTGTACAAACTACATAGCAAAATTTGTTACAGTAAAGATAGATTTTTTTTATTTTCTGTGTAAATAGTGCGAGTTATTTTCAGTAGTGATAAATCTTTCAAAAGGTAGAGCATATCAAATTAATGGACAAAAACAAGGAAAAAACTACATAACTAAATATCCTTCAGTGTCATATGCTATTATTATCTATGTTTTCAGACGTATTTCAATACTGATTTAAAGAGTTTCCTACGTAATTTACGGTTAGATACGTATATTTTACTATCATATATGCAAAAACGTCGAAAGAGATGAACAATATTGGGGAGGGATAAGAGATGAACAATATTGGGGAGGGATATGTATATTTCAAATATATATGAGTCACATTAGATACATGTATTGGTATCTATATAGATTGATTCACATTATCTAGGTGATAAAATTCATAGGAGAATGGGATATTCGCTATGTGTTACAGATACATGCAAATCTACTTATATACGTATCTAGAGGTATCAAAATATTGTAACTTGCGTAATATGATAAATTCAACTGTATCTAAGTAATTAGTTCATAACTTAGTGTAATTTATATAATATTTATACTTAATTTTCTTAACATCCCCATTAAATCAATAAATGTAGAGGATTCAAATTGTTTAACAAGTTATGATTTTACAATAAAGTAGGTTTCACCTCATACCACTAAAGTTTGAGAAAAGTTGTATGTACGAAATTATACTCTTATTTTCGTGAGACAAATGTTATTTTTGATTAATTTTTAATAATCCTCCTTCTTTATCCAAATTTGAAATCGACCACGTGAATAAACTAGAGAAGCAAAAAACCTAATAAGTGTGATGTTGCACTAAATAATGACATAAAACATTCAAATTGAAGTACATTCATGCCAGAGTCATATTTTAACTTCGTTAACGTCGCTAAAATTGTCCCTTTTTCCTTTTCAAATATGAAAATATTTAAATAAAAGATTATGACACTGACAACACAAAAATGCCAAAACTAGATTGAACACATAATACATACATTTTTTTTTAAATTTTTTCATGAACATCTACAAATATATCAGTAGTTATTTTATTATTTAGCTACACATATACTATATTAAATTTGTAAACAAACAATAAACCAAAAAAACTCTAATTCATTCAACTTTTTTTTTATCATCACATAATTTGTACTGATTTGATTAATAAACAAACTTTTTAGTTTCTTCAAAAGTTTAAAAACTGTAATCTGGTTTACTAAATAATTTACTCCTTAAACCCCCAAATAAACCCCCTTTTTTAGCTTTCCCTTTATCTCCCCCTGAATTATTATTACTATCTTCCTTCTCTTCTTCTTCATCTCCATCTTCAACAAATGCTGGATGAGTGAAAATGCTCTTCAGCAATTGAGTTCCTCTCAGAGCATTCGTTAATGGCAAGTGTCCCTCGGGTGTTTCATCGTTCAATTCCCAAATAAATTCATTCGGAAAAGCCCTGTAATTGTGCTGATCCACTTCTTCAGACTCCAGTTTCTTCATCCATCCAATTTTGATGAAGAAATTCGTGAAATCTCTGTTCGCTTTGTTATTCCATATCTTCTTCTGAACACTGTAACCGAATTTTCCGTCGCTGTATTTCCTCCATAGCGAATCGATTTCCTTCAGGTCAGATTCGGAAATGAACTGAACTTCGGAGAAGAAAACGTATCCTCGTTTAACCGCTGCTTCTCCGGCTAAAACGATGAGTAAACGGCGAGTTTCCTCGTCTGCTTCCCGGAAATTTTGAGAAATTAAGTGTTGTTCGAGAGTATCGAAGGGGGTGGTGGTGATGGTGGTGGTGGTGGTGGTGGTAGGGGTAGTTGAGGAAACAGAGAAAGTTATGAGGTTATGATTGGAGAATGAGGAGGGGTTTTTGGTAATTGTCTTAGGAAAAAAAGAAGAAGGAGAAGAAGAAGAAAAAGGGTAAGGACAATCTATAGAATGCCTTCTTCTTAGTGTATGAATGGAGTTGAATGAATTTGTTGCCATTTTGCTTAATGCTTAGTAGTATAGTGAAGAGAAAAAGATGGAAAAAAATTGTGGGACATTTTGGTTAAGATATAACAAGGGTGGGGTAAGGGGGTGGGGTGGATGAGATAAGAAATGAGTGAGAGTGAAAGAAAGATGTCATCAAAGGAAATATAGTGCTTGAATGAGATTGGCTAGATTTGGGTGAGTTTGGATACTCTATATCACTATCTTTTATATCTCCATAGGCAAAAGAAAAAATACTAAGTTGTGTATTAAATTTAACACTTTGATACCTTATTTCTCATTCAATTCTAAATATGTGGTGTGGAAAAGTTTTCTACATATTATTCATTGTGTTTTTATGGTGGTTGTTGTCAAGTAAGGAATTTTGTAGACCACCATTCATACTATTAAGTAGGACCATTAAATGTGAAGTAGCTACCCCTCTATGTATTTTGTAAAGAAAAATGTCATTACTAATTTTCAAAATATCCCAAAGCTATTCAGACCACCTTTTAGTAGTTGAACGGTATATTTGAGCTAAAAATGTAATAATAAGGGTATTTTGTGAGCCAGAAATGTAAAAGAAGATAAAATCGACTTATTTTGAACCGTTAAAGAGTATGGTAACTATTTTCCTTTAAAGATGGTGAATAATAGATGGTGAATACGAGTAAGCTGAATTTTTGTTGTGGTCTACCACTTATTCAAGTTTAACTTTCGTAAGTTTGTAGAGCTTAATGTATACAATAAATAAGAAATCTACTTTAAAAATATCTTTATGCTAGAGTAATAAATAGTTCAATTGAATGTATGGAGTGCTACGTTTATCAATTTTTGAGTTAAATAATTTTTTTGTTTCATTCAACAAACAAGCCCTTATAGCTCAGTGGTAGAGCGTCAGTCTTGTAAACTGAAGGTCCGCAGTTCGATCCTGCGTGAGGGCAATTTTTTTAAACAATATTTGCCGTCCATGATATTATACTCGAATATCTTTTTCAATATTTGGTAACTTGTTGATTTCAACAAAAAAATTAAAAGACAAATTAAAAGACATTTTGTTACGTACCTATTTCTACTTATTTGTTTAGCCAAAGTGACCAAACCACAAGTTTGGTTTAATGTTTCTGCTTTATTATCATTATAATTATTATTTTTGAAGGTGGAATCACCCAAATTGGCCTAATTAATCACCATTCATTGGCCATCTTTCCAAGATGTGATGATTAAGTCTACCTTGATGGATGGATAATATATTTGTCATGCTAATGTAATCAAATTGTATTTTTCACTTCTTTCACCAGACACTTTGTAAAAGGAAGGTTTCAAACTTCATATTACTATTTAATATGGAAAAATTGATAGTGGCAATCATAGAATAAGCTTTATTCTTCCAGAGCAACAGATTCCATACAGGATGATCAAAATGTTAACGAGTAGTCAAGAAACATCATCTCAATGAATGCCAGAAGTGCAGCCTGCTGCATCTTTTCACATAGATATGCAGGCGAACGAGTTACTTTACTTGTACAATTCCTTGAATCTTCTGCAAGCTTCAATGACGTTTTCCCTGTGCCCAAAAGCACTCACTCTCACAAAACCTTCACCACCAGGCCCGAAACCACTGCCTGGAGTAGTAACGACATGAGTCTTCTCAAGTATCTCGCTGAAAACCTCCCATGAGCTTCGTCCAGGGAAGTGTACCCAGACGTAGGGTGCATTTTTACCTCCATACACCTTGTAACCTAGCGAGTTAAATGTGTCCATTATGATTTGTGTGTTCTCTTTATAGTAACCAACCACGTCCATCATGGCCTGAAATGCAAGGTCAACACACGTACGTTCACATTGAACTCTTAAGCCTATTATAATGATGTTTTTTTTATGATTACGCGAATAGGGAGCTGACCTTGAAACCATCAGGTGAAAGGCAAGCCAGACCACCAGCTTGAGCAATGTTGGATGCACCATTGAAGCTTGTACAAACAATGCGATTGAAGTCTTTTGCTACAGGAAATCCATCAGAATATAGGAGTGCTTTGGGAATGGCAGTCCACCCTAAACGAACACCAGTGAACCCAGCATACTTCGAAAATGATGAAACCTCAATGGCAACCTGCAAGTGCAGTACAATAAGCTTACTGAATCACATGGAACAATCCATTAATAATGTAAGAATCATTCAATAAACTTTGTATAAAAGCATTAGAGATTTGTGTCTCAATAGTAAATATAGAGAATTTCTACTGTTTGAGATCCACAAATCACTATTAACTAGAATGAAATAGGTCCAAATAGAGTGAAATGAATGGTGAGAATGCATATGCCAACTCTAAGTAACATGAAATTGAGGTATGGCTGTAATGGAATCAAAAAGAATAATAGAAGGTATGGCTGTAAAGGGATTAAAAAGAGTAATAGAAGTAGAAGGATCGTTATAGTAGCAATGTACCAATAAGTAACTGCTAACGAACTGATACACAGACATTATGAGTTTGTCATCGATATTATACTGTTATATGCTACAGGTTTGACCAAATGATAACAGAAGCTTTCACTAGAAAACAAAGTAAAGCTCAATGTTAACCAAGCAACATGATCTGAACTTACCTCTTTGGCTCCAGGAATCTCAAAGATGGACTTTGGACTGTCATCACATATATACATAGCATATGCAGAATCATAAACAAGGATCGAGCCATTATCTTTAGCAAATTGCACCAATTTAGTCAGCTGCTCCCTAGATGCCGCCGAACCAGTTGGATTATTAGGCGAACAGAAAAATATAATGTCTGTCCGAGGAACACTGGATAGATCAGGAAAGAACCCATTTTCTGGAGTACATCTCATGTATGCAATATTCCCATACTTCTCCACATCCTTCTGAAACTGACCAGTTTGACCCATAATAACACTCGAGTCCACATAAGCCTACAGTAGAAACAACAATCAACGCACATTTCAGAATCTTACACACACCATCACATAAGAGAGCCTTTCTCCAAGGCCTATTAAGAAAACACGGAGTAGTCTAACAGACAATAAAAAGATTGCACCAAATAAAAGGAAAAGGTGCAATTAGATGCAATAATGAATTAATGATAATAACAAAAGACATATCAATAACTTTTACAAAGTATAAAAATTAGTGCTAAGTTATTAAGTAGCACCACTTCACTTAAATATCACAATGATGTGAAAAATCATATTACAAAATAGGCATGGCTAATCTACAATCTTCAGGTATCCTGGATGAGCATGGGCTGCCCTCGAACTACTCTTTTTCATTTGTGTCATAATACTATAATAGAGAAGAACAGAGGTATAAGCCTGAAACATTTACCGGGTATGATGGATCTTGCACAGCCATACTCACATTAGATCCAAAAAGAACCTACAATACAGTGAAGAAATTCATAAACTGATAGTGAAAGACCGCTCAGTAATTTGAAAAGCCCACTAAATGCAGAGTAAACCAGACCTGAAGTCGAGATATATCACTTTTGGCACCATCAGAAACGAAGATCTCATTTTCTTCTAGTCCAACATTTGCATAATAGGTAGAAGCAATGGAGGCTCTAAGTTGCTGCTCATGCAGAAACAATCAATGTATTCAGAGTTATTCTGACAGCTGAATTTACATTTGAATCACGGATTAAATGCTATGAATAACAAATATGGTGACCAAAGACAAATTTTCTCTTACGATCTTAAAGTACGGATCCAAAATAATGATGCTTGACAACACCAAACATGAAACATTTCACATCTCTTTTCTTTACTCGGTAGGCAAACCAAGAATTTGTTGAATAAAAAGCAAATTGCAAAGAGTAATAGATTATTGTCGATCCAAGAAATGGAAATTTCAGCTGCACATCTGCACATCCCTTAATGACGTTATGAATAGAAGAGGAAGTTTTTTAACTTTATTGAGTGGATACCTGAATAAAGAATATTGCAATGTATTTGAGGAAAGAAAAGGACAAATGAACAATCAAATTGGTACAAAACGAGGAAAGACAAACTATCAGTGAAGGCCAGAACCATTATTATTGTAGCAAAAGAAGGAAGAGAAACAAGGATTGGACAATAAATAGTAGAGCTAATATCATATTACTGAAATATGACGAGAGGGGGCACTACTTACTTTTTCTCCTTGCTCAGCACCATAACCACTGTAACCATTTAATGTTGACAGTTCATGTGCTCTCTGCAAATGAGCAAAGAAAACAAAATCAAGAACAGGAAGTAAGTTATCGACTTATAGTTCAATAAGCAGAATAGATTAAAAATACACACTACCTATCAAGTTAAATGGTAGTCTATGTAAGCATATGCTGAAATCTATCAACAGAAATATTTTATTTTTCATCAACAGAAATATTTAGACAGATGTCTAGTATAAAACCAAGTGTTACCAGCTACATGATTTTTGTTAGTAATCCCATCATTGGTCAGGCAGAATAGGACACAAAAATACAGTAAACTTCGAAGTTTTGACCCATAACAAAAAACTATAGTATGATAGAGATATCAGTATTACCTTTGCCATGGCAGAAGTTATGACTTCAGGAATGGGCTCGGTAGTGTCACCAATTCCAAGGCTTATAATTTGAGCATCAGGATGTTTCAACATGTGTGCAGATCTCCTTCTTGCGATCTAACTTCACCAAAGATATTGTTTAGAACTTAACTCGATGCAGGTAGGAGAGATGGTTTACAAAATAAGAGTTCTCTTTGAGTGTATTACTATAAAGAATTGAATTATTTCTCCTATTTCAGGATGGAAGCATAGAGAGGTAAAGATACATAATAAGTCATCCAAATTCAGCTAAAAAAGCAAATAATTTTGCTTCAGGTAACTAAATTTGCTCACTGGCTTATCGTGATTCCAAATTACTGCAATTTCATCTAAATCAATATTTTATTTGCATGTTCCCAAAAGCAATGCTACATCTTCTATAGCAAAGTACCTTAAAAATACAGATAAACAGCAATCAACTTAATGACAATTGACCAGTTGAAATACAGACCTCAGGAAACAGATAACCAGCTTGAAGTTTCGCTAAGTTTTCATTGCGGGAGACCTGTGTCTTGTAAGCTTCAA